TTTTTTGTTGCAGTTTGGCCAGGGCTGGGTTTGAACCCACCACCCTCGGTATATAGGGCTGGCGCCCTACCCACTGAACCACAGGTGCTGCCCGAGAGCATGTCTGAAAATCTACCAGAATCATCTCTCAGTTCATGTTGGATGCTTTGGTGGCCACTGAGTTTCATAGCTCTGGAGTGAAGCTGCACCTTGGGAGGGAGAGGGTGCCTCCTGCATCCAGACTAACCTTGTTATCTAGCTGCAGCTGGGTGTTGGTTGGCAAGGGGGCGGGACAGCATGGGAGGCACTAGGCACTCTTGCACTTGGTAACTTTTAAGTGCCCTGTGGAGCCCACACTGCCATAGCCAAGCAAACTGGAAGGTTAGGAGGTTAGTCTGGATGCAGGTCTGGTCTTAAGGTCACCGGCTGGGATGAGGGCAGATTGTGACAGTGCTCATGGGGCTCCCTTCAGCAGCTGTGAGATGAGAGGAGGCAGGAAACCCCAAAGCTATTCTCAAATAAGCTATCACCATGCAGGTAAACAGCTCATTGGCTTCCAAGGCCTTACTAAGGAAGCATTCCTTTAGCTTTGGTTCTCAGCCACGCTGGTCTGTGTCAGAATCACTCAGATCATTGGATTGGTGGCTGGGGATAACCATGTTTCTTTATATAGCCTGAGAAAGACTCAGGAGGCTAGCCACTAAACGTGCCTGAATAGAAGGATGTCCTATTTCTGTTTTATAGGAATTATCTTTGGGTAGCAGAATGTAGATTTTCCTTAAGGGAAAAAAAAGGAGAGGGTTGTGGTTTAACATATAATCAAAAGAACAAACAAGGCTCTCCACATTCTAGAACATAAAGCATTGCCGAGATTTTGATCAGTTTGTAAGCAAATATTAAAAAAATGACCACCTCATTTTTGAAAATAAATCTCATTAAGGCATAATATCCTGATTTCAAGAAATGAAACTTATGCCTTAAGTGTAATGAATAGTTTAGTGACTACTAAAGAAACTGTGGGTATAAGTCAGTTACATGTTTGAGAACTTACACTGAAATATAATTTATCTGAAGCCTATCATTCTGGCAGAGAATGGTTACAAGAGCTACAGGTTTATTAAGCCCATTCTTTTTTAATTTTTTCTTTTGAAGACAAAGTCTCACTTGCCCTCAGTAGTGTGCCATGGCGTCACGGCTCACTGAAACCTCAAACTCTTGGGCTTAAGCGATTCTCTTGCCTCAGTCTCCCAAGTAGCTGGGACTATAGGATCTGCCACAACATCAGGCTATTTTTTGGTTGCAGTTGCCATTGTTAGTTAGCTGGCCGGGTTTGAACCTGCCAGCTTTGGTGTATGTGGCTGGCACCCCCACCACTGTGCTATGGGGCACTATGCCTATTCAGAGAAATTTTAATTCAGATATGTTATTTGGGAAACCAGTAGAAGAGTCAAATGGAGGTGGTTGATAGAAGACCATGAAGGATGGGCCAGGAAGATGGAAGAACTAATGGAGAATAATGTCACAACCAGAAAGGGAGTGATAATTTTAGAAATGTCAAGAAATATAAGGCCTGCAAAATTTATACTGGCACTAGTGACAATAGCAAGACCAACTTCAGGGCAGTGATATAGGCAAAAGGCTGGTTGAGTTAAGTAGTGAGTGAATATTGTGCAGGAAAAGAGGGGCAGTAGCTGTGTTTTTCTCCGGAGGGGGGTGGGGGGAGATATTTACTTTTTTTTTTTGAGACAAAGCCTCAAGCTATCCCCCTGGGTAGAGTGCCATGGCATCAAAGCTCACAGCAACCTCAAACTCCTGAACTTAAGCAATTCTCTTGCCTCAGCCTCCCAAGTAGCTGGGACCACAGGTGCCCGCCGCAACACCTGGCTATTTTTTTTTGGTTCTGGTTTTCATTGTTGTTTGGCAGGCCCAGGCTGGATTGGAACCTGCCAGCTCTGGTGTATGTGGCTGGCACCTTAGCCACTTGAGCTACAGGTGCTGAGCCAGGGGGTATTTACTTTTAAGATGAGACAAATTTGAGCATACAATAGTCTCCCCCCTTATCTGTTAGGAGTGCGGTTCTCACCTCGAGTGGATGCCTGAAACCCAGAGTAGTTGATTGTAACCCATTTCTGTGCTTGTCTTCCTTTCAGAAATGTAATGGCTTTCCCATCTTAACTAAGCCATTATACACTGTAGTTATAACTTTTGCAGTTTGAGGTGCAGTAGCAAAACTAGCAGGAATTTGTTTTTCCTTCTTCACAATTTCACAGATAGAAGTTTCATTTTTACCATAGATGTTAGCAGCCTCTGGATATGATTTTTTTTTCTTCCCTTATTAAGTAAAGAACTTTCATCTCTTCACTTAAAGTAAGTACTTTCTGGCTTTTCTTTGGCATATCCAAGTTGCCAGCATCACTATTCTTGCACTTTGGGGCTGTTACGTCAAATAAGGGTCACTTGAACACAAGCACTGTGATACTGCAGCAGTCATCTGATACCCAAGATGGCTACTAAGGCTACCAAGACAGTGAGTATTGGGCGGGTAGTGTCTACAGCTTGGATATGCTGCTATGTCACTGGCAAGGTGGTGTGAAATTTCATCACACTGCTCAGAATGATGGTGCAATTTAAAACTTATGAATTAGACACATACATAGGAAAAATGATGTGGAGACATAGTGAGAATACTGTCTGCAAGCTCAGGCACTCCTGAGGTCACTAGAAGCTAGGACAGAAGCATGGAACAAATTGTCCCTCACAATTTGTTTCAGACTTTGATTTCAGACTTCTAGCTCCCAGAACTGTGGGACAATTTCTTTTGTTTAAGCCAAAAATAAATAAATAAAAATGAATTATTTATTTCTGGAATCTTCTATTTAATATTTCTAGGCTACAGTTTGACTGCTTGTAATGAAATTGGGAAAGTAAAACCAAGGATAAGGGGGAATACCGTAAAGTCATGCTTGCTAAGGTGGTTCAGTCAATAGTGGACTGCATATACCATGGTGGTTTCAAAAGATTATAATATTAATACTACATTTTTACTGTGCCTGTGTTTAGGTAGATATGTTTAGATACACAAATACTCAGCGTTGTGTTACAGTTGTCTACCTACAGTATTCAGTACAGTAACAAGCTGTACAGGTTCATAGCCTAGGAGCAATAGGTTGTAGCACAAAGCTGAGGTGCGTAGTGGGCTAAACTTTCTAGGTCTGTGTTAGTGCACTTGGTGAGGTGCACTTCCAATGATGTATTTTTCAGAATGCGTCCCTGTTGTTAAGTGACTAAGCTATCTAGTTCTGTGTTAGTTGTGTTAGTACACTCTGTGATGTGTGCACTTTGTTGTTGTTTTTTTTTTTGAGACAGCCTCAAGCCGTCACCCTGGGTAGAGTACTCTGGCATCACAGCTCACAGCAACCTCCAACTCCTGGGCTGAAGTGATTCTTTTGCCTCCACCTCTCAAGTAGCTGGAACTACAGGTGCCCACCACAACCCCCAGCAATTTTTTGGTTGCAGCCATCATCATTTGGCGGGCCTGGACTGGATTCGAACCCACCAGCTCAAGTGTATGTGGCTGGCTCCTTAGCTGCTTGAGCCACAGGCATTGAGCCTATGTGTGCACTTCTAATGATGTATTTCTCCGAATATATCCCTGTTGTTAAGTGACATCCATCTGTGTTTATGAGCAGAAAAGAGTTTGTAGAGAAAGAGAGGGCTTATTTGCAGCAAGATCCCTGAGAAGGTTTTGGAGGGGTAGAAGTGAAACTTCTGGCAGAGGTTTTGACAGGAGGGGTACTTCTTTCCTTAATTGAATTTGTGGAATAGAAAGTGCCTCGAACCTGGGCTTCCCTATGTAGACACTCTGTATACATACTCTGTATGCATGTACATACAGGCCTGGATCTTTTGTTAGATAAACTTCACTATTTGGAATTTATCTCCACCTGAGGTAACTATTCAGAAAAACATATTTTGTTTAACCCTATCCTATTAGTAGCCTATGCTATTCAACATTAGTAGCCAGTAATCATATGTAAGTATTTAAATTTCAGTTATCTAAAATGAAATAAAATTTTTCATTTTCCCTGGCTACCCATTTCAAGTACTCACTGTCCAAATGTGACTGCTGGTTGCTGTCTTGACCAGCATGGATATGTCTATCATCAGAGCGCTCTTTGGTGTAGCACTGGTCTAATTCATTTTAAAACAAAAACTTGCTGTGTGAAATGTAATTTTAAATTGAACAGTGTTATGATACCATGCATTAATTCTAAATATATAACCTAAATGTGTGGTATCTAAACAATTGAAAAAAAAATAGGTATAATGATTTTTTAAAAAAATTTGGAGTATCAGGAGGTGCCTGTGGCTCAGTAGGTAGGGCACCAGCCCCTATACCAAGGGTGGAGGGTTTGAACCTGGCCCCGGCCAGACTGCAACACAACAACAATAGCCCATCGTTCTGGCAGGTGCCTGTAGTCCCAGCTATGTGGGAGGCTGAGGCAAAAGACTTGCCTAAGCCCAGGATTTGGAGGTTTGTGTGAGCTGTGACGTGTGATGCCACAGCACTCTACCCACGGTGATAAAGTGAGACTCTGTCTCTGAAAAAAAAAAAAAAGAAATTGGAGTATCATTTGATTTGAAAAGATAATGTCAAATTTAAACAGCTTAGTAGTTTCATTCATAGAAGAATTTTTCATTGGTTTTTAAACCTGTTAATTTCATTTAAAGATTCTATATGGAGTGATCCTAGATACCAAAAAGAAGATACCAAAAAATGTATACACATTTTAAGTAAAGAAAAAATTGTAATACTCAAATCATGTTTGATTTCTGCAATTACAAGAGATGCTCACTGTGACTTGTATTTATCTTTTGTTATCAGTATATATTGAATATTACAACTTTAATACAGTCTTTTCCTTTCTTAAAATGTGTATACTATACACTTTTTAATACCCTCTGCATATATCAGTGTAGTTTTAAACAAAGTTTAACTCTTTTTCTTTAAACTCTTTTTCAGATCACTCTGACAGCTCACTCTTCTCACCAGTGCCATCAGAGGAGAAGGCTGCCTCCCCTCCCAAACCCACCCTTTCAAATGCCTCAGCAACTCCAATTGGGAAAAGGGGCCCTCTGGCCAACCTTGCTGCAACTATTTGCTCCTGGGAAGATGATGTAAGTTACTCATCTGCAAAGCAAAACAGTGTACAAGAACAGCCTGGTACCACTTGTTTATCCAAATTTTCCTCTGCAAGTGGAGCATCTGCTAGGATCAATAGCAGCAGTGTTAAGCAGGAAGCTACATGCTGTTCCCAAAGGAATGGCAATGCCTCTTTGAATAAAGCCTCATCCTCAAGCCCTGCTGATGCATCGCTGGTTAATGCCTCAATTTCCAGCTCTGTGGTAAGTCAACACCAGTTTGGTCTTTGCAAACCTTTTTTTTTGTGTGAGTAGTAATGAAAGAAAGAGAGTTGTGTGTGTGTGTGTAGGTATGAATTTTATAATATGTGCATAGCGTATTTATATGTATTTCAGAATATCAGTTTCATCGAAAGTGAAAATTTTAAGTTTGGTACCTTGTCCTGAGATAAATTATCAGTTGACAACTGAAATTACACTAATGTAAGGCAAATTCAAAGTGTATATAATAATGGAATAATGAAGCCTCTTCTTAGTCATTAAAAGAAGAATTCAACATAAGTATTCCGTTAGAATGCTTTATGTATATATAAAAATATAATATTTAAAGTATTTCTGGACATAATAGCTACAGTTGTCTCTAGGAAGGCTAAATTGCATAATAGGGCATGATACTTTTTTCTGTATGTTCTTTTGAAATATTTGAAACTTTTATGTAGTGTAGGTGTTACCCCAACAGTTTTTAAAAAACAATTAAGATAAAAAACCAGAAAGAATAAAGGCTGTTTTGTTCTTGACCACTGTCTTTTAGTCTGGTGCTAGGCCTTGGAATTAAACAGACCTGGATTCAATCCCAGCCCTGCCTTGTAATTAGAAGTGTGGCTTTGGACAACAGACTTAGTCTTGCAAAGCCTTACTATAAGTAAAATGAGGGAAAAGGGTTATTTGGAGGGTTAGATAAGGTAAGATGCATAAAACACTAACTATAGTACCTCACTACATAGTAATTACTTAATTTATTATAATTAGCCATCAAGCACATGATACAATTTTATTAAATTGATATTGACTTAATAAAAATATAATTTGGTCTAATATAGTTAAAAATGTAATAAAGGTACTAGTATAAGAATATGAAAAACAATTTTTAAATAGGGAGTGATCTTACCACTAATACTTAATTACCCAGTAATATATTATGCAGACTAAACATATAATTTAAGTAACAAAAATAATAGTAATAATGATAATTTAAGTAACAGCACTTTCTAAGTTGCTTTTTCTCCCAAATCTTTCAAATTAGTTTGATCTATCAGAGAGTAAGAACATTTCATTTTGATAAGTCTTACATAAAGGCTACCAGGTAAATAAGATTTGAATTGGGGAAATAGGAATTCTTATAGATATAGTGAATGTTGTTGTTTACCCTAAATTTTTTCGTGTTTCAGAAAGGTACTTCTTCCCCAGTGAAATCTGCTATATCCATCACTGATGCTAAGAATTGTGAGGTACAAAATTTTGAGGTACTTCAAAAAACTCCTGGTAGTCCTCTGAAAACAGAGGTGTCGAAACCAGTTGTGAAGTCAACTGTATCCCAGACACCTCGATCCAAAGAAGAACCAAGTAGAGAAATTTGTCTACAGTCTCAATCTAAAGACAAATCTACAACACCAGGTTATGTATTTCAAGATATTTCAAAATAGTTATTCTCAGCATCCTAAAGATCCAATTGTGAATGGTACATTGTTGGTTTGCCAGGGCCAATGCTTGAATATTCTAAATGAGGCTTCTTTATGTTCAGCTTTAATTGATTCACTGAATATTCATTAGTGTAGACTAGCCTATTTACTGTCAGAGTTTTTAAACCTGTTACATTTTAACTGTTTGAACATGCTTTCTCTAGAATAATCATGCTACATACTTTCTTCTATATTGTGTGAGAGGGACAAGCCTTATACAGCCAGAAATCCCATTTTGGGGGCATAGTATGCAGAGCCAAGTATGCGGAGCATGTTTTTCAGTTTTCACTATGAAGGCATCCCTAAGAGCTGAGAGAAGTGAATGTGCAAATGACTCCATCCCCAGTTTTATTTATGTGTTTATTTGTAAGATTTATACATAATAGAATTTTTTTAACTTTTTAAAATTAATATGTAACATATATATTTTGGGGGTACATTTAATACATCCATATAATTTATAAAGATCAAATCAATCAAATCAGTGTAACTGGGATATCCCCTTAAATATTTGTCTTTTTTTTTTTTGGAGACAGAGTCTCACTGTGTCACCCTGGGTAGAGCAACGTGGCCTCACAGCTCACAGCAATCTCAAACTGTTGGGCTTAAGTGATTCTCAGCCTCCCAAGTAGCTGGGACTTACAGGGTCCCGCCACAATGCCTGGCTACTTTTATTTTTTGGTTGTAGTTGTCATTGTTGTTTGGCAGGCCCAGGCTAGATTTGAACCCGTCAGCTCCTGTGTATGTGGCTGGCACCCTCGCTGCTGAGCTACAGGTGCCAAGCCAATATTTGTCTTTTCTTTAAGCTAGAAACATTTGAATTCTTTTCTTCCAGCTTTCTTGAAATACATGTGTACAATAGATTATTATAAACTGTAGTCACTTTACTGATGTATCAAACACTAGGTCTTATTTATTCTCTTGAACTATATGTTTGTACCTATTAATCAATCTATCTTCATCCTGTAATTAAGTATATGTGTATATCGTTTGTGTGTGTAGATATAAAAATTTAAAATTTTCTACTATAGTAAAATGATTCTCTAGGAAATGCTGTATTTGACTTATAGTGACTTATACTTTGTGATGCCCTCCCGCTTCCTGGTGGTTGAGAAACACAGCACTGAACTATATGGCACAAATATATGGCCATAGAATTTACTTTGAACTATATTCTTGTTCATTGGAAAGACTTTCAAATTCTTAAGGTTTAACTTTTTGAGAATATAGTCTCTCCAGAAACTGTAGCTCAGTTGGTCTCAACCTTCCTAATGCTGCGACCCTTTAATACAGTTCCTCATGTTGTGGTGACTCCCAACCATAAAATTATTTTCGTTGCTACTTCCTAACTGTAATTTTGCTACTGTTATAAATCGTAATGTAAATATCTGATATGCAGGATGGTCTTAGGCGACCTGTGTGAAAGGGTCATTTGACCCCCAAAGGGGTCGCGACCCATAGGTTGAGAACCGCTGCTGTAGCTCATCATAAAGGGGAAGTAAACAGAGGGATGAGAGTGAGGAAGCCATTAGGTATAGGATACATAGAAGTCAGCAATCAGTTTCCAGGTTAACCAAAATGAAAATTAGAAGCAATAGCAAGATCCCAGATGGAATAAGACAAGTTACACCCAATTTTCTAAAGACTTATGGCTTAGGTTAGAAGCATTCTTTTTATTGTTCTTGGTTACGGGATGTACTCAGAATCACATTTGCAGAGCCTCAGAAATATTTAATTTAGATGCTTTTTTGTATTGCTAGTAGACCCTAGTTTTAGATATGGTATAAAGTGATAATAAGGGACAGGTGGAGTTCTCAAATCATAGCCACGGGTCAAATTCTATTCTCTGCTTGTTTTTGCAAATAACATTTTATTGAAACACAGCTATACCTGTTTATTTTTATGCCCTCTGTGGTTGCCTACATTCTACAATGCAGAGGTGAGTAGTTGTGACAGAGACCATATGATCTGCAAAGCTCAAAATGTTTATTATCTGCCCCTTTACAGGAAAATATTTGTCAATCTCTAATGCAGATATGCCTATTTTTCTATAATACAACCCTGGAATCCTCTTGATGGGGCTAATAAGTATCCCATTTTCCCTACTTTAGTACTTCATACTATTTCAAATGAATACTATTTTAAGACGTGAAATCAAGTTGTCATTTTGATAAAGTGAATAATCCCCAATTTTTCTGACTAAAGGAAAAGATTCTACATTTTTACATGTTAGGCTTCCTAAAAGTAAGATAAAATATATTGGCTGTAGAAGTATAAGTTGCTGGAAGTTATTATGGCCAGGTACTTCGTGGTGAAGGTAGATTTATTAATACACATGCGGTCAAATTTTAGTCATTCTGATTGTTCAGTTTGAGAGTTTGCTAATCCCTACTGACCTCTCACTCTCCCCTTTTAAAATTCTTTTTTTTTTTTTTTTTAAGGAACTAAATCCCATGAAAAAAATTTTAGGACATATAATTAAATAGAATAATAAGATAGTTTAAAATTTTTTTGACCTATTTTCATATTGTTTACTTTGTTAATGAATATTCCTAGTAGAATCAAAGAATTTTAGAGCTATGCTGGAGTTTAGCACTTTTTTCATGGAAACAGTAATTATTACTTATTTTGAATAGCCTCTAAAAATGTGTTGTGTTTTCTATAGGAGGAGCAGGAATTAAGCCTTTCCTGGAACGCTTTGGAGAACGTTGTCAAGAGCACAGCAAAGAAAGTCCAGCTCGTAGCACACCTCATAAGACCCCCATTATCACTCCAAACACAAGGGCCATCCAAGAAAGATTATTCAAGCAAAACACATCTTCATCTACTACCCATTTAGCACAGCAGCTCAAGAAGGTATGGTATAATGCATTTAATGTAATTCGTCACATGATCTTGGGACAGAACCTAGAAATCAAAAAAATGTGACTTCTGATAGCGGACCTAAGTAGCATCTGAGTGACCTCTGTGTCACTCATTTCAAATTGGAAATGCTGTCCTACATTCTCTGTGTATTATGAACTTTTTTTTTTTTTTTTTTGCGGTTTTTGGCCGGGGCTGGGTTTGAACCTGCCACCTCCGGCTTATGGGGCCAGCGCCCCACTCCTTTGAGCCACAGGCGCCACCCCTGAACTTTTTAATTGTAAAAATCAAAGATAAGGAAAGTTTTAATGGTGTTGGGATATTCTTTTATATTTTTCCCAGCTTGCTGTGTCTTCACATGGTCTTCTTTCTGTCAGTGTTTGGGTGTTCTTAAACATGCTACTGGCTTTTGTGTATAATGCAGCTTTTGATGGGTTTAGGAACGTGAGAAAGAACTAGCATGTCTGCGTGGCCGATTTGACAAGGGCAATTTATGGAGCGCAGAAAAAGGTGGAAGCTCAAGAAGCAAACAACTAGAAACCAAACAGGTAATGTAAATAAGAAACATAAAAGCAAACTTGCATCAGAGTAGTGTTGGGATCTATTGTAGTTCTGTATTATAAAATAATTCTCTACACACTTTCCTATTCCAATTAATTGTCACTTTCCATTCATAAACTCCTTAAATATGCATATTAGTTCTGCCTTTTCATGGTGTTTTCCTATCTAAATGGAACTCTTCACTATATTCACTGACTGATAAACATAAAATCAAATGTTAAAAAAATATTCTAATCGTTCATTTGATTTCAGATTATTCTCAACAGTCTACTTAGATGCTGGTTCTGAAATGTTTGTTAGGCTGGTTGTGATGGCTCACTCCTATAATCCCAGCACTCTGGAAGGCTGAGGCAGGTGGATTGCTTGAGCTCAGGAGTTTGAACCCAGCCTGAGCAAGAGCGAGACCTTGTCTCTACTAAAAATAGAAAAACTAGCTGGACATGGTAGTGCATACCTAGTCTCAGCTACTTGGGAGGCTGAGGCAAGAGGGTTGCTTGAGCCCAAGAGTTTGAGGTTGCTGTGAGCTATGATGCTACCACAGTACTCTACTTAGGATGACAGAATGGAACTCTTTTCTCAGAATCTACTTTTCTCATTGATGACTGTATACTTCTCCTCAATTTCCATATTTTTTGACTTTGGAACTCTTTTTTTTTTTTTTTTTTTTTTTTTTACCATGTTGCCCTCGGTAGAGTGCTGTGGCATCAGCTCACAGCAACCTCAAACTCCTGGGCTCAAGCGAGTCTCCTGCCTCCGCCTCCCAAGTAGCTGGGACCACAGGCGCCCGCCGCAACGGCCGGCTATTTTTTGGTTGCAGCCCTCATTGTTGTTTTTGGCGGGTCCGGGCTGGGGATTCGAACCCGCCACCTTAGGTGTACGTGGCTGGCGCCTTAGCCAGTTGAGCTATAGGCGCCGAGCCGACTTTGGAACTCTTAGACCACATCCCTCTAGATTTCTCTTCACTCCTGTCAAATTTTATTTGACAGCCTTCAATAACATTCCTACTTATGGCTGTAAACTATGTCCTATTTCATTTATATGCTTATAGTGTACAAAAAGTATTGTGTTAGGGATATTTTTAGGCTAATAGGATTTTATTTGCAGAAGGGACTAATGGAAAGTATAGGAATATTAGATTTAACCAGTATTCATTCAAAAAGATTTTCTACTTTGAGTTTTCTTTTTTTAAAAGAGTCATGTTTTGTTCTTGCCTAGGCTGGAGTGCAGTTGCATGATCAAACATAGCTTACTATAACTTTGAATTCCTGGGCTCAAGTGATCCTCCTGCCTCAGCCTCCCAAGTAGCTGGGACTTACAGTCATGTACTTACAGGCATGTGCCACCAAGCCTGGCCTGATTTTTTTCTTTTTTAATCAGTTCTCTTGTCTAAAGAATCATGGTACCCAGAGTACTGACCTCAACCTTTTTTTTTTTGTTTTCACTTGTCCTAGGACAGCTCTTCTTTGTCATCAGATACAGATTCAGCCGAGCACAGAAATGCTGGTGATGTTCAGCTCTGGTGTGCTGATCTCTCTCCTGAGCTCTGGACTTGGTTGGCTAGCAGAGCCTTCTCTGCTTTGCTGTAGTCTCTGTCTTCGCCTATGACTTTACTCTATGCCTTGCCATCTAAAACAATCCAGGAGTTCTTCCTTGGCCCCTACCTCTTGTTTACTGTGTCTTCCCATCTGCTTGCCCCTACCACACACATGCCTAAACACACAAAACTAGTGATAAGTTTTCTAAACTATCACCAAGCTGCCTGGTCTTCCATATTTTCCTCTGCTGTTACCATAGTCACTTCTATAGCTTCATACTGAATACCCTGCTTCTGGTTTGGCTACTCTCTTGTCCATCTTACAAGTTGCTGCCAGAGAAGTATTTTTACAAGGCAAATATTCACATATTTACTTGGTTAAAATCTTCAAAAGCTCCTCATAGCCATCATCAGAAAAATATTTAAACTACTTGGTTTGACATATAGAATCATTCCTTGCCTGGCTCCTCTCCCCTTTCCATAGGTGTGCTTCAGACCTGCCATGCAGACTATTTGCAATCTCTCAGATGTACCAGTTTTTCAGAGCTGTTTGCCTTTGCCTTGCTGTTCTCTCAGGTATCTCCCTGGTCAGCTCTTTGTTAGGAACAGGCCCAACTTTAATTACCTTTGGGGATCCTTCTTTGGATCTTTAACCAAGGAGCCTCTCTTTTTCCCACCCATGTCATACTGTTCATATCTCATCTGAAATATTGTCTTCCTATGAATGTTTTAATTTTGTCTTCTACCAGGGTAGGGAGAGCCTTATCCATCTCTGTGTTCTTAGTGCTTGTCTCAGAGTAGAACCACAATACATTTGTGTTTGAAGGAAGGAAGGAATGTGCTGATTCTTCCTATCAGCATACAGCAGCTAGGGGTGGGGAACCTGTGGCCCTGGGGACACATGTGGCCTTCTGGATCCTTGAGTGGGGCCTTTAGACTGAATCCAGATTTTATAAAACAGCTCCTTTTACTGAAGAGATTTGTTCTGTCTCATTTGGGTTTGCTGAGGGTCTGCACTTGGGGCTCTGCAGGGCCACATGTGGCCTTGAGGCTGCAGGTTCCCACAATCATTTAACTTGACCTGTTAGGAGCATTTTACGTTGTCAGTCAGTTTGTTCTAATTGAAGCACCTTCTTCACTCAATTGCCACTATATCATATGCTCATGGTTTTCTCTTTTGCCTCTGGAGAGGTTAAGGCAGTGTTTCCTTAACTACTTTACACTAAATAATTCCTGGTAAACCTGACGTTGTTTCCCAGACAGTTGCACATATGTATGGAAGCAAACTTCTGAACACAGTAATGGAAGTTCAGGGGTTTTCTTTTGTCCAAAAACTTATATGTGGTCTCGAGAGGGAGCAGCCAAAGAGGTAGGAGGAGAATGTGTTTGAATAGGGTGTTATTAAAGTCAGGAGAAGAAAGAGCTTTCTGGAAGGAAGAAGTAGTCAGTATTGTCAAATGTGGGTTGAACCAAGTCCACTGAGGTTTTTCTTTTTTCTATCCTTTTTTTTTTTTTTGACAGAGTCTCGTTCTGTTGCCCTGCTGCAGTGCAGTGGTGTCATCATAGCTCATGCAATCTTGACCTCCTGGGTTCAAACCATCCTCCTGCCTCAGACTCCCAAATAGCTGGCACTTCAGGCATTCGCCACCCTACCCAGACAACTTTTCTATTTTTTTGTAGAGACAGAGTCTTGCTTTTTACTGGATTTTGAAGTCTGGTATTTGTTGTGGTGTAGTAGGAACAGTGCTAGTTAGGTGGTAAAGATGGAACGCTGGAAACAATAGGCTGAAGAGGAATGGGAAGTGAAGGGTTGAGTCGGAGGTGTAGGCAGTCCTTAGATAAGGGAGAGGGAGAAGAGGTAGCCGGAGGGGATGAAGAAGCAAAATATGGCTTATGTTTTCTTCTTTCTGAGACCTACATCAGTTTTGGTGTGATGGGAAGCAGCTAGCAGAAAGGAAGAATTTGAAGGTAATACGTCCTTCATGTTCACATGGATGGAGCTGGAAAATGTTCTTCTTAGCAAAGTATCACAGGAATGGAAGAAAAAGTATCCAATGTACACACACCTATTATGAAACTAATTTAAACCTTTTTATATGAAAGCTATAACCTAATAACAGCCTAAGGATATGGGGAGGGGGGAGGGAGGAGGGAGAGGGATTCGAGGGTTCACTTCTGGTTCATCTTGCAAGGGTACAAGTGAATCTTTCTATGAGTAGAATATGAATGTTTTGACATAATAACTAAGAAAGTTACATGAAGGCTATGTTAACCAGTTTGATGGAAGTGTCTTGGATTGTGTGTGAAAATACCACACTGTACCCCCAAAGTGCATCAATGTACACAGTTACCATTCAATTAAAAAAAAAAAAAAAAAGAGGTGATGATTAATGAGGTCAGAGTGGATGAACTCAGTATAGGAAAGGGAATAGAACAGATCAGAATACACTGTGGTATGAGGAAGGAAGTAGTGTATGGGGGCCTATAGCACCCTGGGAATAAGACTACAGACGACTGATGGACTTTCTGCCTGATAGCTTCTGTTTTGTTCATCCTTAGGGTAGGGAAGGTGATAGGTCAAATACTTTCTGGAGGAAGGAAGACAGAGAGCTGACTCAGAAATAGAAAGAATAGGGAATAGTGTGGAGACTTAGACGGGATATGAGACCATATATTGATAATGGAATCAAACTCCACAGTTGTGTTTTCTCTAGGTATCCAAAAAGCCTAGATGTAAACAGGGAGACATTGGGTCGGTCCAGGGTTGGGGTTTTGCTAGACAAGAGGAATGGGAATGGGGTTCAGGTGAGGGAGTTGAAGATACTGATAAGGTAATGGCTGCAGTGGAGGTTCATGTGGTTTGCCCTGCATTGTAGGAGTAAGAAAATAAGTAGCCACAGTAGGAAGAAAAGTATCAAATGACCAGAAGTCCATGTGAGGCTAGAGGCTCTGGTAGATCCCAAGCAAGAGAGTTAGAGAGATCGGTAATATGGCTAGTGTGGGATATTTGAGTTTAGGATTTCAGAGAAGCAGAAGATTTCAGGAGATGACTGAGTTAGAGTAATGGTGAAGGTCGCTGGAGTTGAAATGTTTGGCCCTGAGAACCTGAGGTGTTGTTTAGGCAGTTCTTGTGCCTACTGACACTGCCCTGATGGTGGTAGGTTTTGAACCAGAGAAGAAGTGTTTGAAGAACATAGAGGATTGAGTCATGAGTTATTAATTGATACCGTGGAGTTGAGGAGGGATGGAGAGTGCACTATAACCAGTTTGCTTGGGGCCCAAAGGTGCTGGAGCTGTTAAAAGAGGATTAATAAACATGAAAACATTATCAGAGATAGAAGAGAAGGCTGTCCCTCATGTTGTCATGGTTTAGGTGAGAGAACCACTATTATTTCAGAAGTTCAGAAGTTCATAGTATAAGTCCTCTTTTCACAGGAGAGTAAGGTTTCATTTCTTTTCTTTTTTTTTTTTGAGACAAATTCTCACTATGTCACCTTGGTGCCGTGGCATCACAGCTCACAACAACCTGAAACTCTTGGGCTTAAGTGATTCTCTTGCCTCAGCCTCCCAAGTAGCTGGGACTACAGACACCTGCCACAAAGTCCAGCTATTTTGAATTGTAGTTGTCATTGTTGTTTAGCAGGCCTGGGCAGGGCTCGAATCTGCCGCCTCCGGTATATGTGGCTGGCACCCTACTCACTGCACTACGGGTGCTGAACCGTGTGCAAGTTTTTTAAAGTCTTCTGTGCTTCAGTTTTCTCATCTGTGAAATGGAGATAGTAGTACCTAACTTATAGGATTATTGGGAGGAGTAGGTGAGGCAATAGGTGTAAAGTGCTTAAAAGGTGGTGGCACCTGCTAAGCTCCATGTAAGTACTAGCTGCTGCTGTTCTTGTTTTTCCTCTGTTTCTACTATTGCTTTAATCATAAAGTATTTAAACAAACAACAACTGAATGTTTCAGTTGGTAATGAATTAAAAGATTCAGATGAGGGAATTTTTTTCTTCTTTATTTACCTTCTGATCTGTTTTTGTCCTCTGTTTTCTCTGGATTTTACCCTTTGAATAACTGATAATTAAATGGAATCCTGATAGAGGAACTGTCACCAGATTTTATAGGTATAGATTGAAATGATTATCATGGGAATTATTTTTCCCTTTGTGTGTTTTTCACCTTAATGGGTTTCTTTAAAACTCAACTTTAATGCTAATTTTTATTCTCTCTTGCTACTGGGAATTACCAGGAATATGAACTAACACCAAGGGCTCGTTGTCTTATCAACAAGGCTGGGCCCGTCCACGTACATTTTGTTCTGAGGACACAGATACAGAATAAAATATCTAATAATCATCTTGTTCCATTTAATAACACATAAGAAGATAAAATCTATAGTTTTGAGAAATAAAATCTACTTCTTCATTTACTTTTTTGCAGGAAATTCATTGTCAGGACACTCCACTCAAAAAACATCAAGTTGTTTCCAATACTCAGTCACTTCCAGTAACAGAAAAGGTGACAGAAAATCAGACATCAACAAAAGCTTCGAGTACAGAGCCTTCAGGTCAGTGTTTGATATTTCTGTTTCACTTAAAATTTAGCTTTCGCATTGCCATACATTTGGAAATTTAATTGGAAAGCAGATAGGCTGCTATGGTGTAAAAAGATCCATTTCTTAATTCCCACTTACTTTTTAAGTTCTGCAATATGCTTCTTCTTTAGTTCTTTTTCCAGAGTTAGAACTCATATACCGTTGATAAAGTATAATTACTACAAACTTTTTCAGTGAAAAGTTCAGTATTACCTTTTTTTTTTTGAGATGTGGCCCTTGGTAGAGTGCTGTGGCATCACACAGCTCACAGCAACCTCCAGCTCTTGGGCTTAGATGTTTCTCTTGTCTCAGCCTTCCAAATAGCTGGGACTACAGGCACCTGCCACAATGCCTGGTTGTTTTTTTGTTGCAGTTTGGTGGGGGCTGGGTTCGAACCTGCCACCCTTGGTATATGGGGCTGGCACCCTATTCACTGAGCCACAAGCACCGCCTCAGTATTACCTTTTGAAATGTACAATGTACATGCTCTTTAACTCAGATTTTCTGCAGTATTTCTGTGAATTCCTGAGTTAGTATGCAAAGGTTTGTGCACAAAGACGTGAACCGCTGCACTTTTTATAACAGCAATGAGATTTAAATGCCCTAACTGCGCATCAGTAGAAGACTGTTTTAGTTTTTCTACCTTGGTCCAAACACCCTTAGAAGACTAAGTAAATTGCACCAGATCCATATGATCAAGTATTATACATTGGCCTAAGAGAATAAGGTAGCTTTGTAATGTCATAGACACTTTTTAAAAATTGATTTTATTTTAAACAATTATGGTACACATAAAATTACATCACATAAAATTTATCATCCTAACCATTTTTAAGTGCATAATTCAGTAGTGTTAAGTATATTGTTGTAATGTAGATCTCCAGAACTTTTTCATCTCACAAAACTGATACTCTATTAAACAATTCCCCACTTAGCCCCTGGTATTCGCCTTCCTATTCTTTATTTTTTTAATTTGATTACTTTAGATGCCTCATTTAAGTGGAATCATACTATTTATCTTTTGTGACTTGCTTATTTCACTTAACACAATGTCCTTAAGTTTTGTTCATATTACAGCACATGATAAGACTTCCTTCTTTGCCTTTTTTTTTTTTTTTTGACATTTCTTAGAGATGGCATCTCATATGTTGCCCCAGCTAGTCTTGAACTTCTTCCTTCTAGATCCTCCACCTTAGGTTCTCCAAAGTGCTAGAATTACAGGCATGAACCACCATGTTCAGCCTTCTTTCCTTTTTAAAGCTGAATATTCCATTGAATATTTTTCCTTAGTTCTCCTTCCAGAGTTAGAAAGATGTATTTCCACTCCATCTAGGTAAATATACCACATTTTGTTTATTCATTTTTCTGCCAGTGGACACACAGGCTGCTCCTACCTCTTGGCTATTGTGAATAGTTCTTCTCTGAACATGAGTGTGCATATATCTCTTTGATATTAATTCTTTTGGATAAGTGCCCAGAAATGGAATTCCTAGATCATATTGTAGTTCTGTTTTTAATTTTTTAAAAATTTTAACTATTTTTCATACCATTTTAAATTCCTGTCAAAAATGCACAAGTGTTCTGGTTTCTCTGTTCATCACCAATGCTTATTTCTGGTTTTTGTTTGTTTGTTTTATAGTCACTGTCCTAGTGGATGTGAGGTTGTATCTTATTGTGGTTATTATTTGTATTTTTCTGCTTTCTGGCTATTTGTTTGCCATCTCTGGAAAAATGTCTCCTCAAGTCCTTTGTTTTTTTAATCAGGTTATTTGAATTTTTTGTTGTTGAATTGTAGGAGTTCTTTATATATTCTGGATATTAACCCCTTATCAGATAATGGTTTGCAAATATTGTCTCCCATTCCATAAATTGTCTGTTAATTGTATCCTTTGATACATAAAACTTCTTAAGTTTGATATAGTCCTATTTGTCTATTTTTCATTTTGTTACTTGTGCTTTATATCTAAGAAATTATCATGAAATCTAACATCATGAAGCTTTTCTCCTATTTTTTTTTTTCTTTTAGAGATAGAGTCTCACTTTATTGCCCTCGGTAGAGTGCAATGGCATCACAGCTCACAGCAACCTCCAACTCCTGGGCTTAGGCAATTCTCCTGCCTCAGCCTCCCAAGTAGCTGGGACTATAATCACCCGCCACAATGCCTGGCTATTTTTTTGTTGCAGTTTGGCTGGGATGGTTTGAACCCGCCACCCTTGGTATATGAGCCACAGGCGCCACCCTTCCCCTATGTTTTCATCTAAGAGTTTTATAGTTTGGGGTCTTACATTTAGGTCTTTTAATCTATTTTGAATTAATTTTTATGTATGGTATAAGATGAAGGTCCAACTTCATTGTTTTACATTTAGATATCCAGTTTTCCCAGCACCATTTGTTGAAAGGATTGCCCTTTTCTCATTGAATTCTGTTAGTGCCCTTGTCAAAGATCATTCGGCCTTATGTGTAAAGGTTTATTTCTGGGCTTTTTATTTCATTAATCTATGTGTCTGTCTTTATGCCAGTACCATACTATTCTTATTACTGTATTTTGGTAATATATTTTGAAATCAGGAAGTGTGAGTTCTTTAATTTTGTTCTTTTTCGAAATTGATTTCTATATTTGGAGTCCCTTGAGATTCCATATGAATTTTTGGATGGACATTTTTTTTGAGACAGAGTCTCAAGCTGTTGCCCTGGGTAGAGCCGTGGTGTCACAGCTCACAGCAAACTCAAACTCTTGGGCTCAAGCGATTTTCTTGCCTCAGCCTCCCAAATAGCTGGGACTACAGGCACCCGCCACAATGCCCAGCTATTTTGTTGTTGTTGTTGCAGTTGTCATTGTTGTTTTAGCTGGCCCAGATGGGATTTAAACCTGCCAGCCTCGGCGGCATATGTGTTTGTCATTCTACCCACTGAGCTATGGGTGCTGCCCAGGATGGACTTTTTGATTTCTGAAAAGAATATTGAGATTTGACAGGGATTGCATTGAATCAGTAGATCACTTGGGTAATATTGTCTTTTTCTTTGAGTACATTTTTTATTTTTACAAATTAGTATGTGGGTATAATTTTTAGGTTACATTGTTCTAAATTCCAAGGTAAAGTTATACACCCTCACAATGTGCATATTAGGTAAAATCCTGCCTCCTGCCCTCTTTCCTCTGCCAGATGTCTTCCACCCTCTGCTCTCCCGCTTCCCTCTACCCTCAAACTGGACTATATTAGTGTTTTATTGTTCTTATGAGCATATAATTGTTTAAGAAGAGTGTATTTCAACTCCATCCAGGTAAATGTAAAAGATGTAAAGTCTCCATTTTTTTTTTTTGAGACAGAATCTCACTATGTTGCCCTTGGTTAAGTGCAACAGCCCTCGGTAGAGCAAGGCCCAAGCCCTTGCTTGGGCTCAAGCGATTCTTCTTTTCTAAGCGTCCTGAACATCTGGGAGTACAGATGCTCGCTGCCAGAACACTTGGCCATTTTTTGGTTGCAGTTGTCATTGTTTAGCAGGCCTGGGCTGGGCTCTAACCCACCAGCTTCAGTGTATGTGGCCAGCGCCCTACTCACTGAGCTATGGGCACCAAGCCGAGTCTCCATCTTTTTTAACGGCTCAATAATATTCCCTGGTTTATGACTCAATAATATGCCACAGTTTGTTGATCCATTCACTGGTTGATGGGCACTTAGATTGCTTCCATGACTTGGCAATTATGGATTGAGCCTCAATATTCTAGTGCCAATGTCATTGTGGTAAAATGATTTTTGTTCTTCTAGGTAGATACCTAGTAATAGGATTGCAGGGTCAAATGGAAAGCCTACTTTTTTTTTTTTTAATTCTTTTATTTTATTTTAATTTTTTGAGACAGAGTCTCACTATGTCATCCTCGGTAGAGTGCTATGGCGTCACAGCTCACACCAACCTCAAACTCTTGGGCTTAAGCGATTCTCTTGCTTCAGCCTCCCAAGTAGCTAGGACTATAGGTACCTGCCACAATGCCTGGCTACTTTTTGTTGTTGTTATTGTTGTAGTTGTCATTGTTGTTTAGCAGGCCCCGGTGGGATTTGAACCCATCAGCCCCTGTGTATGTGGCTGGCACCCTAACCACTGAGCTATGGGCACCAAGCCAAAGGCCTACTTTTAGATCTTTGAGGATTCTCCATACTTCTCTCCAAAAAGGCTATATTAGTTTACAATCCCACCAGTAGTGTAGAAATGTTCCCTTCTCTTCACATCATACCAGCATCTGGTGTTTTGGGATTTTGTGATGTGGGCTAATCTTACTGGGGTTAGGTGATATCTTAGAGTGGTTTTTGATTAGCATTTCTCTGATGAGTAAAAACAATGAGCATTTTTTCATGTGTTTGTTGGCCATCTGTCTGTCATCCTCAGAGAAGTTTCTGTTCAAATCTCTTGCCTACTTATAGAGAGGGTCATTTTCACTTTTCTTTTTTTTTTGAGACGGAGCCTCAAGCCATCCCCCTGGGTAGAGTGCCATGGCATCACGCTCACAGCAACCTCCAACTCCTGGGCTCAAGCGAGTCTCCTGCCTCAGCCTCCCAAGTAGCTGGGACTACAGGCGCCCGCCACAACGCCTGGCCATTTTTTGGTTGCAGCCATCATTGTTGTTTGGCGGGCCCAGGCTGGGGATTCGAACCCGCCACCTTAGGTGTATGTGGCTGGCGCCTTAGCCGCTTGAGCCACAGGCGCCTAGCCATTTTCACTTTTCTTATTGTTTAATTTGAGTTTTCTGTTGAGTCTAGTTATCAGGCCTTTGTCAGATTCATAACATGCAAAAATCTTCTCCAATTCTGTAGGCTGTCTGTATGCTTTGTTTGTGGTACCCTTAGCTGTGTAAAAGCTTTTTAGCTTGATCAAATCCTAGTTATTTATTTTTGGTGTTGCTGCAATTCCTAGGGGAGTTTTCCTCATAAAGTTTTTTCCCAGGCCAATATCTTCAAATGTTTTCCCCACACTTTCT